ATATATATATATATATATATATATATATATATATATATATATATATATATATATATACGACTAAGATTAAGAGCAAATATGACCATTTTAATTCTTTTTTATCATTTTATCTGAAGGAAAAAATTGTTTGGACTTATATCTGACGTAGACAGGGAAAAAGTAAAATACGACTTATTATGCTTAAGCAGTTTAGCTATTACAATAGGATTGGTCGAAACAGAATTACTCCGACTAATTTTAATTATTTCGATTGTGTTCAAGAAATTTCATGTACCTTCATCGATATGCGTACAATTATATAAGCTGAACAAATTCTCGTCATCAAGTAAATCAAGCAATCTAAAGGATTCGGCCATTGCTACACCAATGATTTCCGGTCCTCTTGGATACTGAAATACATGATAAAACGATACAACAAATACTATTTAAACAGGAAGCGCATCTCAACGTTCTTATGTTTGAATTCACAAACTATTAGCGGCATAATTTGTTGATTACGTAAGTAGATTAAATTCTAGTCTTACAGCTATCAAAATGGTTCTACTTAGTATATCAATATTAGTTTCCACATTTCTCAAATGACAAAAATTCTATAAAGTTTCCATTCATCTGTTAAAAATTAATTGATAGCATTAATGATACATACAAACCGTCGAATCATAAACTGAAGTTAACGGTCTACGTCTTCGAACCGGTTTTCGTACCACAGTTGTTGAGTCAACAGTTGATGGCAATGGATTGGCTGCATCCGCAAAACGTTTAGATGATTGCATTAGTACTCTAAATAGATCAATTTTCTTTCGTAAAATTCTTCAAAGCCATGCAATTTTCCTATTTAATAAAATTTTCAAAATTAAATTCCCATAAAAATAAACGCTAACGTAATTTTGCCTTATAGAATAAACCATCTAACAGAAATAAAACCTGGTCAATAATGAATTTGGTTGAATAGCCTTTGTCCATAACTGCTTCTTGTTTATCATATGTGAATGTACATACAATCCTTTCCATTCCAAAGACCCATATAAACAACGTAAAGGATACCGGAATTTCAACATAACTAAAGATGATGATAAAAAGTTGAATAAGTGCTAAAATTTCGGTAATCTCCACGACTTTTCGCCACTTCTTCAATATGATATTAAAATTTGCGCAAATTAGTCAGAAAAGAAAAACAACGCCCATCAGTTGTGTCGAAAAACAAAAAAGATTTATTAGTATTAAACAACATGCACAAAAAGTTCATAATGAACGTTTTACAGCTTTAACTAATCAGCGAAAAACTCCTATGTCATGTGCGAAAAGTTTAAATAAGTATTGAGACTTCCGAAACTTCTCACCCTCATTATCCCTTCAAACAGCAAACCTCTCCAGCAACAATCCCTCTCCTTACCATTACACTGATAAATTTCCCACAAGCAATTAAAATATAACTTAGCTAGCACTATGTATTAACATCAGCTCATTACTAATCATTACTAAATGATCAAAAAACTCAACGATAAATATTTCATTCTGCAAGTGAGAAAAAAAAAAGAAATTGGAAAAAAAATCCATGTTATCTCCTCATCATCTGAAATTTTCCAACAGTGACCATCAATTTTTTATTTCTTTCATATTTTTTTTTTTTTTTTTTTGCGAAACGATCATGTGATATTGTAAAAGTGTGTTAAGAAAAATAATCTTTGGAAATGTTCAACAAAAAAAAAGTTCAAAAAACTTCGCCTGAGTAATA